CCATTTTGAAAGAGGGGGCAGAAAGATTGTAAGAGCAAGGATTGGCCCAGAAACATAAGTAAATATGGCTTTAAGGACATTGGAGACTTCCTCATATGAACTTACTTGCAGCAATTGTGACATCATGTACAAGACTCATGCCAACTCAATCAGACAAAAACGCACATAGAGTGAGGGAAATGGGCAGAAAGTCCATACCCTAGCCTAGGAATTATTTGCAAATGATTACTACTGGCAGAGGGTGAGGGAGGGAGGGAGAGAGAGAAAGAGAGAGAGGAATAATATATTTCCATGTGAGTTTGGATGCATTCTTGCCATAGTACATATGTGGAGAACAGAGAACAACTTGGGGTCTCAGAACTTACCTCACCCCTTTGATGATACCTTGTCTCTCTTGTTCACTGTTTATACTGCAGGATAGCTGGCAAATGAGCTTCCAATGATTCTTGTCTGTGCCTCCCATCTACCAGTAGGGATATCAAAAACTTTGAATGAAAGTTGATTAATGCTCCAAGATCAATCATTTGTGTGAAGAGTCTTAAAGGGTGCAGTACAAGGTCTTATGAAACTCAGATTATCAACAGAGTTGGACTTATTCTTCAGAATCAAGATTGCTATTTCTACTATTCCCTATCTTAACACTTAAGTGAAAAGCAGCTGTGACCTATCTGAGGTAGGAATTATGAGATGTTATTTATTACCTGAAAATCAACCATACTTTGAAAAAACCTCCATCTGTATGTAAAATACTTTATACCTTTTCCTACAAAAGCTGTGCATATATTAAATAATCATTATTTAATATTTGACTGTGCAGCTAGTCCTTCCATATATTCACCAAAGTATCTAATAGCATTGTCATACATCAATCATTATAAAATACTAATAAAATAAATTAACATTAATCTCAAAGTATACACAGAGCTATAGTCATAAAATCAACATTGTACTGGCATAAAAATAGACACATAATTTATTGGAACATCATTGAAGACATATACTTGAGTACATGAGAATTAAGCCACCTGATATTTGACAAAGGTGGCAAAAACACACAATGGAAGAAAGACAGCATCTTCAACAAATGATACTGATGCTGGACAAACTGGATTTCCATCTGTAGAAGAATGATACTAGATCCTTATCTTTCACCTTGCACAAAAGTCAATGCCAAAAGGATCAAAGACCTCAATGTAAAACCTGAATCTCTAAAACTATTAGAAGAAAATATCAGCAGTAACTTATAAGATATAGGTGTAGGAAAGGACTTTCTAAACAAGATAGCAGCTGCTCAGGAATTAAGGTCAACAAAAAACAAGTGGACCCTCATTAAACTAAAAAGCTTCTGCACAGCAAAAGAAAAAAATTAAGAAAGTGAAGAGAAAACCCACGGAGTGGGATAAAATCCTCACCAGTAACACATCTGACAGATATTTAACATCCGGAATATATAAAGAACCCAAAAAACCAAAGAACTAAGAAAACAAATGACCCAATTAAAAGATGAGCTAAAGAACTAAACAGAGAGTTGTCAAAGGAAGAAATAAAGATGGCTAAGAACATCTTTAAAAAAGTTCAACATCATTAGTAACTAGGGAAATGCAAATTAAAACCACTTTAATATTTCACTTTACCACAGTCTGACTGGCTAAGATCAAGAGAACAAATGATACCAAATGCTGGCAAGGATGTGGAGAAAGGGAGACACTCATCCACTCTGGTGGGATTGCAAAATCTTGCAACCCTTTTGGAAACAGTGGAGAACTATTAAAAAAACTAAAAATGAACCTACTATATGATCCAGTTATACCACTCCTTGGCATACAGCCAAAGGACTCATCCTATTGAAGATACACTTGTACAACCATGATTGTTGCTAACCTTTTCACAATAGCTAGGAGATGGAGGCAGCCTAAGTACCCCTCAAGTGACGAGTGGTTAACAAAAATGCTGTACATTTACACAATGGTGTTCTACTCAGCAATAAAGAAAGATGAAATAATGAAATTTGCAGGAAAATGGATGGATCTAGAAACTATTGTGCTAAATGAGGTAACATAGACTCAGAAATTCAAAAGATGTATGTTCTCCCTCATTTGTGGATCCTAGCACCAAATCCTTATAACAGATGGAATCCCACTAAAATGGGACAACAGCCCATAGAAAACAGATGATGCAGAGACCCAAAAATTCAGTGCCTGCCAAAATGGGAGGAAGATCATTCCATACCTAAAACCCCATCCAAGGATCATGGGCTTTTGTGGAAGAGGTTGGTGGAAAGAATGTAAGAGCCAGAGGAAGAGGTGGAGTGTTACCTGGAAGTGTGCTCCAACCACTATGCTGGCAAGCTACAGTTACAACACCTTTCCATGCTTGTCAAGGAGTGCAGGGGGGAGTCAGTTACTCCTCACACCCAATCAGTCAACCTTAGTTGCATGTGAGAGAAGGGTTAAGCATCTATTAGTTGAGAACTCCATGAATCACCTCTGTGAAATTTTGTGCAGCTGTACAGAATCTATATTTGAGTGTAGATTTTCTAGTGAAGCCACAAACTGGGGGGGAGGGGCAGGGAGAGCACTCACTCTTCTGTAAATAAACACCACACCATATGCTCTGTTAGCAAGTCCAATAAATTTATTATGATCTAAAAAAAAAAAAACAGAGCCAATGGAAACCTTCATTATTTCACCAAAGTTGATAACATTTTGCTAAATCCTTTGGTCTTTGATTTCTTATTTCTATTTTTACCCTATAATCATCATTGTATATATATATATGTATATGCAAGATTCAAGTCATTTATGGAAAAATGTGTTAAAAATTGCCTCTCTTTGGAATAATAAAATAATCTAAAATAAATAAAATGACATTAAATGAAAGCAGCATTCATTGTCGATTTCTATTTTAAACTTACTCTCCTCTAATCTGAATTATAAATTAAATGCAAAGTGGATATTTATCTGGGATAATTTGTTATGTATTTCCCACAATTATTAACTGAAAGCATGCTAATATCTACATTTACTAAAGAGAGCCTTGCAACTGACAGTCCTTGAAAATTAACAGTGTTTGTGTGGAATGAATTTTACAGTGCTTTCCTGGGAATGAAGTAATGATCCCTGGTGACTTGAATTCACAGTTGAATGCAGGGTCTCTTCAGAGACTGATTCTCAGCAATGAACAGTGTAAGAGACAGTTTAGCAGGTATAAAGTCATAACAACCTTGACTATCTTACAATGAATTCTCATTAGAAAAGGTAAGTTTTTGCTTTTTGAGTAAATTGAGAATAAATATGTATGTATGAACCACAGCTAAGAAACAAGTCAGGTGGAATCAAGGAATCTTGTAGCATAAGAGAGAAAAAGAACCTTTGTTCAATCTACTTATATTTCAGTAGCAAAATTATTCTGAGTAATGAGGAGTAAACTGGGTTTTCAAAAAATCTTTATTTGCTATCTACTAGTTAGTCAATAACATAGTCTTTAAAATTGTGTAAATTTGCCACTCAGGCAAAAAGCTTTTAACTTCCAAAATTTAAAATGCTTTTATGGTTTTCTATCAATGAATATCTTGTGAAACGACCTGCTCTGTTTATTGTCTCAATGCTTAAGCATCATAGGCTCAAGAAGCGCGGTGGACCAACAGAGTGATATCAAGCCAGACATCTAGTCTAGGAGACTCAATCAGCATCTAGTGGGTAAACCTTGGTAAGCTTAAACTTTTAGGTTGAGTATTATTCATTAATAAACTCTGTCGAAAATCACATTAGATCATTAAACCATTCTTCAGTTAAAAAAATTATTACATTAGGTAAGGATTTGGGGGGTCTAAATAAATGAACACTAATAACAATGTTCTAAACATTATTCATATTTTACATAATTGGATTGATATTACAAACAACTTAATATTAATAATATTAGTAATATTCAATACTTAAAGAATTTATAATACAAACTTATTTTTAGTGCAGAACTCTTTCTATTTCTTCTCAGTTCCAGCAAGAAAATTTACTTGTCTCTTTAAAAATTAGGATATGGTCTTGGTTAACTGGTTAAATTTAGACTCAATGTCACCTTTCAAGTTCCTCTTTTATGTATTAGCAGCCAGAAAACTGAAAAGCTACACTGTTTTCTGTCTCAAATACCCAAGTGTTCTCAAATTTATTGTAACCCTTAAAATGGAAAAAGAACTGAGTTCAGCCTTTATGGGGTTCATATCTGTCTAATATTTCTTTTATAACCTTGAGTTCCTTAAAATTTTCAATTGGTTTCCTCAACAATGTAATGGAATGAAATAACATAATTAAAACAAACCTCATACACATGAAATCAAAACTTTATGTAAAATTTGACCTCATGTGCTTATGATTAATAATCATTCAATAAAAGTTGGCATTTATTTAAGTCCTTGTTGCATAATTCTGTGTTTGTACTTCCTAACTCATTAGTACACTTATAAAAATGACTGAGTCATTTTCAGAATTCTAATTTATTTTACATTTATTTATTTGTTTTTTAATTTTTTGGTGGACTGAGAGCAATGAGGTATGTGTATGCAGAGGTCAGAGGACAGCTTTCATGAGTCAGGTCTTACCTCCTACCATGTGGATTCTAGAGATGAAACAGAATGTCAGACTTGGTGGCCAGTGCCTTTACCAGCTGAGCCATTGTGCAGGCCCAGTTCTCACACTGCAAATGTTTAACTTTAAAGACACTTAGGAACATTTCATGGTAAATAAATATAAAGAAAAATTATACATTATTAGTAGAAAATTTTCTAGCATTTCTGTTTTAAAATTTTAAGATAGTTTAAATGCCTGGAAATACATAAACACTGAGAGTGTAGAGTAAATGAAATTTGTTCCTCAAAACTTTTCACGAATAGTATATTTAGATACATTACCCTTCGTGAATGTGATAAAATGCAGCTATATGTTTAAAATTATTTCAAGTAATGCCTTCATCAAAGGTTTATTTCTGCAGCAGCTTCATTGTCTCATGGCTCTCCTGGGGGATGGGAACCACACTGCAGTGACACAGTTCATTTTAGTTGGCCTAACAGACAACCCAGTCCTTCGAGTCATCCTCTTCATCATCATCCTGTGCCTCTACCTGGTGACCCTGTCTGGAAACCTCAGCACAATCCTGCTAATCAGAATCTCTCCTCAGCTCCATCACCCCATGTACTTTTTTCTGAGCCACTTGGCTTCCACTGACATTGGCTATTCATCTACTGTCACACCCAATATGCTTGTTAACTTCTTGGTGGAGAGGAATACCATCTCCTATCTTGGATGTGCCATCCAGCTTGGTTCTGCTGCTTTCTTTGGAACATTTGAATGTTTTCTTCTGGCTGTCATGGCTTATGATCGCTTTGTGGCAATCTGTAGCCCGCTGCTTTATTCAACCAAAATGTCCACACAGGTCTGTACCCTGTTGGTTGTAGGATCGTATGTGAGTAGTTTTCTTAATGCTTCCTGCTTTACCTTTTCCTTCTTTTCTTTTTCCTTCTGTGGGCCAAACAGAGTCAATCACTTTTTCTGTGATTTTTCTCCTTTAGTTGAACTTTGTTGTTCTGATGTCAGGGTCTTTGCAATTGTTACCTCATTTTCTGGAGGCACCGTTACTGTTATCACAATGTTAGTCACAGCCATCTCCTACATCTACATCCTCATCACCATCCTGAAGATGCGCTCCACTGAAGGCCGCCAGAAGGCCTTCTCCACCTGCACCTCCCACCTCACTGCAGTCACTTTGTTCTATGGGACCACCACATTCATTTATGTGTTGCCCAAATCCAGCTACTCCAGTGATCAGAACAAGGTAGCATCTGTGTTCTACACTACGGTGATCCCCATGTTGAACCCCCTCATCTACAGTCTCAAGAGTAATGAGATTAAGAATGCTTTTAAGAGACAGCTTAGTAAGAAAATATTTTCATAGAGATCTGTTATTCTTATTTTTATATTTTTATTGATGTTTGTAATTTCATACAACAGTTCTTAATCAAATTTAGACCACATCTTCCATCCATGCCTTCCCCATCCCCCAACCAGACCTCATGTTTTGCACCATACATGTTAAGTCCTATTCATTCAGGCAATTGTACCCAAATATACTTCAGTTGTAAATTTGTCCACTGGAGTCTAGTCATACCACCTAATAGATGTATGTAAGTCATACTCTCCCTCAACCAGCAGCAATCAGTCTCAAATAGTTGTCAGCCAAGTGTTGGCCCACCACACCTGTTATTCTGTAGGCAGTCACCCTAGAACAATTGACCATCATCTCAGATTTGGCTATTAGTGTTATCATTAGTACTTTTACCCACATTTCCTTGAAATTTTCCACACAGCACAAATGATCTTTAAAAACACAAATTACGGCGGTTACTTAAGTTTTCAATTTTAATTATTCCACCAATTTCAAAATAAAATTTGGATGCTCTTCTATGATCCATGAGTACTGGCTTGGCTTATCCTGATTTGCTTTTCATTTGCTGAGATTATCTGGGTCACTGACATGGCTAGTTTCCATTTTGCAATTTTATCCCGCTCTCTATAGCAACAGGACCTTCTCAGTTTTTTCTCAACTATCAACAGTTCCATGTTGATTTCATTGTCAGTCTATCTAAGCTGGCACCACCCACACCACAACACCTACTTTTTTCCAATCACATAATTTCCAGCTATTGTTCCAAGTTGCATCTTAATTTATTAAAGGCAATTTAATTTCGAGTGGGCTTTGTACTGATCTTTAATTGTTATGAGAATTTTATTATTCATTAACACTATATAGCATGCTCCAGCTGAGGAAACCGAAGTCCTCTGAAACAATCAGTTACTTCCTTCCCTCCTGGACAGACTCTTTGTTGAGACAATGTTTCCCAAGACAGCCTGTCTCCTTGAGAAAATGGTCCCAAGAAGAAATCATAAGCCCTCTGTCTCTCAAGGTAAATCAGAGAAAAATAGTACCAGGAAAAAGGGGACCACAAAGGGGCCATAAACTTCTTAAGAGTGCCCCTGATTTGATGTATAGCTGTCAGACACAGCTATGTCCTATATGAGTCCCAACAGCCCCCCGCCCCCAGCCAGGGCAGCAGTCCCTTCCAGCATACTGGAAGGCTGCTGTCACATGCTGTGATTGAATAAACATCTTGTCTGAGGTCAGGTGTGTTCTCCCTTTTTCTCTCTTATTGTTCCTGTATTCTGTGCCCCCAAACCTAACAAATATATCAAGAGTATTTTACTTGGTTTCTATAATACAATTAATACTGAATAAATACATCTAGAGGAATTAATGGTTAAGTGATTATCCCATATATGCCTGTAAATCTATTTCAATGCTCTGTTATAATCTTCCAGAAAGAATTTGAGATCACCAAGGTGGAACTCATTGTTTGATGTGTCTTCCTTATATTTGCCATAAATTATTTCCAAGCATGACAAGAAAAAACTATAAATCTTACCAGATGTGGAAATCAATGTCTCTTATCATGAATTTATTATTCCTCAATCACCCAACCTCAGCTTATATCTAACATTGTGAATATTCTGACCTCAAGCATGGGTTCCATGTTCATATGGAGGCTAGTTTTGTGTTTGGTAATTTGGAGTTTACATGAGTGAAGTCCTAAGATCTCAAGAAATCATATGTACCTTAAATTTTTACCAGACATTTGGAGACATTTCTCCAGTGATAAAGACTAGAACAGGCTATCAGGAGGAAGCTCTGGTCATGTGAGTTGTTATGAAGAAGGAGCATGGGTTGGCCAGATAGCTCAGTGGGTAAAAACCCTTGCATACAAGCCTGACAACCTGAGTTTGAACACCAAGACCTATGTAATGGAAGCAGAGAACCAACTTCACAAGTTGTCCTTTGTCCTACAGATATAAACACACAGAGACACACAGACACACAGACATAGACATAGACATACACAAATGTAGATACCCACACACACGCAGGCACACAAACACTAAATGTAGTAAAATTGTTTTAAAAGAACAAGGTACAAAGACATAAAATACCACGGATGAGTGGTAGAATGTTGAGAACACTGGAAGGACTGGAGAGATGGCTCAGCAGCTGTGAGCACTTATGGCTCTTGCAGTGGACCTGGGTTTGGTTCTCAACACCGACATGGCAGCCTAGTGCCGTCTTCTAACCTCTACAGGCAGCAAGCACACATGTGATTCACAAACACATGCAGGCAAGACCCACACACATAAAAAATAAAGAGTTTTTAAAAAGCAAGATTTGGATAGGGATGGTCTGTGTGATCTTACATAATTTTTCTCCTATCCCTGGGTCTTAAGTCTCAAAATGGATAAAGTGTGATTGATTTTACTAATATATAAATTAGACTTGTTTTTCCTCCCCTACCTGGGAACCTCAATAGGAGTTCAGGACAGGTTAAACCTTGTTATTAAAAATAAACACATCTAAACATTTTCATTCTTTGCATGAAGGCTTTCAGTAGCTCCTTTCTGTATAAAGTACTCCTTCACATAGAATTATTGCTTTTAAAGAGCTATTTCCAGTGGATACCACCTGTTAGAACTTCCTCTCAATCCATCTGTGCTTTTAATATCATTTTTATTGATGAATATTAAAAATAGAGAGTGATTCTCATTTTATATCATGAATGCACATACCACTGTAAGACAGTCCACCCCTATTACACTCCCTTTTTCTCTCTGCCCTCACCCCATTCCTAATACCTGGGTGTTTTGGTACTAAGAAAATGAATGTCATTGAATAAATGCTTAGTAAACTGCTGTGATGGACTAAGTTGTCTCCAAAAACAGTGGTGTTGAATAGGACTGTCTTCCAGAACAGACAGACATCATCTCCTGAGCTCAGCTGTCCTTGTTTGCCAAAGATTGAAGGGGTGGGAGCTTGTTGACTGTTGATGATGTCTTGCATAGAAGGAGGGACGTAAAGTCACAAGACCCTCACCTGAGTATCCAGTCACACCTCCCAAGCCATGGTGGCCAATTCAATTGTAATTTCAGTTGGTTTGGGGGAGGGCCTAGGGCACATTGACACGGGGAGCCTAAGGGAGGAATTCTTTATTTGTGTGACTATGGGGAAGTCATCACCATGCTACATCAATACTTTACAGTGATACCTTCATGGGAGAACCCACACTTCTGTGAGTACCCCTTAACCCATTGTTCTGTCAGTACGCCCAGTAAAGTTCATTGGTTTCCAACAGGGCAGTGGATGCTGCTTACATCGCCCATAGGATTAGAGTTTTAGCAACAACTGTGAAAACATTCCTTTGAGTTCTGCCTCAGTGTAAATTCAAGATGTTTAACTGGAGGAGAGAAAGCCTTTCCAAAGTCATGAAATTTTCTGTATGACTGTCGGTCTCTTCTCCACTAAGAAGTGAAACATCATCTCAGTACTACAAAGGTTTTAGGTATTTGTGCTGTGCCTGTTGGGGCAGTTGTGAGATTTGAGTGCCAGTATGTATCAATTCTTTATGTATATTGCTTTTTAAACTTTTTATTTATTTTTTTATTTTATGTGTTTGAGTATATTGCCTGCATGTGTATAAATGCACCCGTATATTGCAATGTCCACGGAGGTCAGAAGAAGCTGTCAGATCCCCTGGAACTAGAGTTACCAATAGTTGTGAGCTGCCATGTAGTTGCTGCGAATAGAACCCAAGTCCTCTACAAGAATAGTCAGTTCTTTTAACTGCTGAGTCATCTCTCCACCTCCATTTCTCTATATTCTATTTAAAATTGTTTCACTTTAACATATTCACTGTGTGTGTGTTCATGAGTGCTTGCGGCTGCATACATGTGCATACATGTGGAGTCAAAGAACAACTGAATTCAGGTATTCAAGCTCGGCAGAAAGTACCTTTACTTGCTGACTCATCTTGATAGTCAAATTTTCTTCATTTTAACATTTTTTTTTAATTCTTTTAAGAAAGGGTCACGCTATAACATCATCTGGCCTGGAACTTGGTTGGTCTCTTCAGTTCTAACTCTAGACTTTTTCAATTATATAAAATATCCAATTACATAAAATAACATATTTTGTGCTCAAAATGACTAATAGTTGTTAGTCTTTTATTTCAACCCCCTTAACTGGAGTGCATAAGGGGACATATGTAGGTTTGGTTCAAGCACTACATAATTAAGTGCTCCAAGAATGTTACTGTATCCTCTGGGAATATCTTATCTGTGTCTCTGTGGGGAGGAGCTGCTTACAGCACATTTCATAGGCATGTACAGTAAGTGAAATTATGACTGGCATATATGGGTTCACATGTTAACTTTTTATTTCCACTGAATTTTAGGGAAGGAAAAACTGGAAAGAAATAATTTAAATGTTTATTTGTTTTTGGAGAGGATATAAATGAATCCAAAACAGAATTCTTCCAGACTTATCCTTTCTAGGGATCACTTTCATAGGATCCCTTCTAACCAATTTGTATTTTTTATCCCCCATCACAAAACCAGAATGATTCAAGATGGAACTGGGGAGAGTTGCAAATCTTGTATTTCAAGTTGATATAGGCAGGAAGTGGGGTTCTTGAAGTATATGGCCCATGAAAGTTTGCCTTCAGTTTTTCCACATCATTCCTGACTTGGGTTTCCTCATTGTATTCTTAAGAAATTCCAATTCTCTATATTTTCCAGGATGTTAGAATTACGTAAGTTCTTTCAACATGGATGTCCTTCTTCCCTGTATTACAGAGTTGCCTACCTACTCATAGAGAAGGCAGAGAGATGCACTAAACTGTGACTAAGATTCTTCCAGCAGAATAGGATTAAAGGAAAGATGCATCCACTGGAGTCTAGTGGACACATTTACACTGAAGGACATTTGGGTACAAATACCTGAATGAATATGACCCAGAATGTATGGCAGAGTGCATAGGGTTCAGTGGGGGGTACTCATAGAGAAAGCAGAGAGATGCA